AGAGCGGAACAAGTACAAGATCTGATGGTATTGATTTCAATGAGGGTTTTGCAGCTATCTTGAGAGGGGGGGAAAAAAAACCATAAAGAATATTTGAAGTCTCACATGGCTCTGTTCAATTACTTATAAGAGAATTAATCATATCAAGTTTTATGTCCAAAGAAAATTTTGTTAGTATGCACTCTTCTGTACGACTGTGTATTACCTTGTTAAGCTTTGTATTTGCTATTTAGAAAGCCTGACATTGCTGAGCGCTATCTTGAGAGGGGGGGAAAAAAAACCATAAAGAATATTTGAAGTCTCACATGGCTCTGTTCAATTACTTATAAGAGAATTAATCATATCAAGTTTTATGTCCAAAGAAAATTTTGTTAGTATGCACTCTTCTGTACGACTGTGTATTACCTTGTTAAGCTTTGTATTTGCTATTTAGAAAGCCTGACATTGCTGAGCGATATCTTCATTTGCTATTTAGAAAGCCTGACATTGCTGAGTGATATCTTCTGTGGAATAAGCAGTTCCTTTCTAAGTTTTGCATTTAACTTGTTCCAATTTGTCAGTGAGTTTCCCCATAGCAACAGCTTCAATTCCTTTAATATTTTGGGTTTTAAAAAAAACAACACAGAAACCTCTCTTCCTGTCACCGCACCAACTAAAATAGTTATTATCCACTGCCGATTACAAACTCCTCCTCTTTCCTGCAGGGTGAGTGTTCCCAGATGTGCTACAATATTTTCATTGTGGAGTCTGTCTGTGTGGCATGGTTTTCCCTGGAATTCCTGCTAAGATTCATCCAGGCAAAGAGCAAGTTTGCATTTTTGCGGAGACCATTAACCCTGATAGACATAATAGCCATTCTGCCATACTACATCACTTTGCTAGTAGACACCACTTCGGTGGGCTATAAAAAGCCCAGCTCTGGGAGCATCTACCTGGACAAAGTAGGTCTGGTCCTCCGTATTCTCCGTGCCTTGAGGATTCTCTATGTCATGCGGCTGGCCAGGGACTCCCTGGGGCTCGCTGGGGCTGCCCGCCCGCCGGTGCACCCGGGAGTTCGGTCTCTTGCTGCTCTTCCTCTGCGTGGCCATCGCGCTGTTTGCACCGCTCCTGTATGTCGTCGAGAACGAGATGGCGGACTCGCAGGAGTTTACGAGCATCCCCGCGTGCTACTGGTGGGCCGTCATCACCATGACCACGGTAGGCTACGGAGATATGGTTCCCAGGAGCATTCCCGGCCAAGTGGTGGCACTAAGCAGCATCCTGAGTGGCATCCTCCTCATGGCATTTCCAGTCACCTCCATCTTCCACACGTTTTCACGCTCCTACATTGAGCTAAAGCAAGAACAGGAAAGAATAATGTACAGGAGAGCACAGTTCTTATTAAAAACAAAGTCTCAGATAAGCAATGCATCACAAGGGAGTGATATTTTATTCCCCAGTGTCTCTTCTGAGACTAGGGACAATGAATGAAATTTAAGTTACTATTTCTCCTGATGTCAAGTAATGTTTTGTTGTATCAGATTCCATCTTTTCATTTGCTTTGGAAGCGTTTTACAGAGGTAACCCTCATATTAAAATGAAGAGAAGGAGCCATTAACCAGGAACTGATGTGGTTTAAGAAGTCTATTATTACGCTGTTTCTTCCCGCACCCCCACCCCCCCAGTATAATGCATAGGACAGATCTTTCACTGAGATCATACAGTGGGATTTTAGGAATTAAAAGTTCTCTGACAAAAAAAAAGAACAACGTATAATTATGTACTTGACAGGCTGTTTTGCCATTTGTAGTACACATTTTTCCAACCGAATCACAATGTATATAATCATTAAACAGGCTGCCATTTTTCTCGTTCTTCTTGTATATAAATAATGTAAATACAACAAAATTAATGGCTAAATTCTCTCCCATTAAAACACCTCAGAGTGTAATGGAAATAACCACAGATGGTTGTCCCATTGCGGTCTTAAAAATACATTAAGATTTGTCATGAACAACAGCAACTGTATAATTCTTTGTAAGTCAGCCCTAAGCATACCAGAAAAGAAGAATCGAGCCGTTTCTATCATAACCTTACTAAAGATGTAAATACTTATGGCTCACCAGGTTCAAAACTTAATTGGAAGTTACAGTGTTGATCCTATGTCATTTAATGCATTCCCAGGAACAAAGCCTTTGAGTTTTGTAGTGTTTAATATTATTATCAAGAGGTTACTAGCTGCAAATCAAATGAAATATGCATGATGAGATGCCAGTCGTTCCCTACCATCTGTTTCCATGTTTTCACTTTACCTCAGATATGAAACAGAATTAAAAGAGGCCTGTTTCCAGGGGACACCCTACCATTACTTGGCAAATCGACGCTGCGGCTACCCATTCACATTCAGCGTTTGGTTCTTTAAAAGGAGCAGAAAATATATGGTCGTGGGAAGTTGCCAATGATGAAGAAAAGAAAATATCATTTGAGTCATGGAGTGGGGGGGTACTGACAGCTTTATACTTTACTGTCCTCAATCATGAGGAACTTAAGACTATAATTAACTCTACCTTTTCCATCATTACAGCCATCACAGTAATGGAGAAAATTTTAAATAGGATATGAAAAAGCAATTAAGGTCCCAAAACACAACTGTACATTCTTCATCCACACGTGTGTCTTAGTCTGCATTCCCCTGCTGAAGCCAGTGGGAGCACATGGGTCAATGAGACACTCAGGTTTGGCACAGGTTTCTATGGTGATTAATGACAGACCTCTCCTTTATTTTAGAGGGAATGAGACTGGCTTGCATAACAGCTCAGGAGACAAACTCTAGAATTTTAAAAAATTAATTAAATCCACTTGTTTGATTTCATGAGTGATCAGAGGTAAAGAAAAGCTAATCTGAAGAGTTTCACCTTTTTTTCCCCTTTGTTTTAGTAAATTTTCTTACTAACAGTTAAAGGCTAGGGAATTTTAGAAGTTCCCATCACATTCATCAACGCTTCTCTATCCTAATTCTCAAAAATACTATTGCTTATTGGCATTTCTGCAGCAGTTTGCTAGAATGCCAGAATTCCTGACGGCTTTGTGATTTAGATTAAGGCCAAGGACACAAACATTGTCCTTTCAAAAAAGGTAGAATTAGCTCTGCAGACTGTGCTGTTTGGCCAAGTCCACATGACACTCTTTTTCTTTTCAAATGTCTTTAAACTACAGTTTGAAGGTATTCTGATATACTTACTCTTAAAGAATAATTTCAAAACTTTTTAAAATGCACATTACAAATAATTAGGGCTCTAGCATTCTTCAGCCTGTCGTAGGTAAATATGCCCATGGAGCATTGCTGCAGAGCACTAAAATATCCAGTCTAAACTCTTGGCAATTAATTACGTGCCAGTGCTACGAATGTAACCAGCTTTTCACTCTTGTTCCTCAGCTTTAATTAGAGTTGGACAAAAAACAGGAACATCATGACAAAAAAGGGACACATTTTTCATCCAAAATACTCTTAATTTCAAAACTGTTTGATCATCTGTAGCATTGGCTTCAACACAAGTGCTATACATCCTTCTACCTTTGTGTCAGCATTCGTTATAAAAAGAACTGGTAATTAGATTAGTCCTGTGAGCAACAGTTGCTTCTCTAAGAATGTGTTTGACAGGCTGAGCCATAAATAAGAAGCTGTAAGTGAATATAAGGAGAAATCAAGACTTACCAAATAAAATCTAAGCTTATTTCCATGCTATGCTAGCAAATAAATGCTGAAGGTCCATCCATTTTCTCAATGTCTCTACTTTAAGTTAATGCTCATTTATTTCATGCATCACTTTATTTTTTACCCCCAAATGATAGCTTGATTCTAAAGTCCTTGTCCAGAAAAATATAAAAAATAACATCCTGAAGTTGGGTGTTGGTTGAGCAAACCTGTGAAACCATTTTGCCTGTTGCAAGTTCTGCCTAAGCCACGAACAAATAATCCATCCAGGACGTACCCCTATGTAATTTTGTACTTGGCAACACATTACTTGCAAGTGTATCGACATGTTTTACTATGAATCACTGTAAGAAATTTGCTTATGTTTTACAGGAGGTAATATATACTGTAGTCATTATGCTAAAGAAATCCAGCTATACGTCTTAAGAGCACAACATTAGTATGAAACCCACATGCTGTGCTCCGGCTTTTACTGTGACGGCTGAAAGTTTAAGACGATTATGCCTCTTTACAGTATATTATCTGAATTTTTAGTCAAATTCATGAAAATTATGGATTGATTCAAAAGCTGACGGTTTCCAGTGACACAGCTGACAGCTACCACGTCAGCTATCACTCCTTTTTTGCATTTTAACAGCATGTGCAGTCAACAAGAAAGTTCCAATAAAAACACTTTGTGCTTTTATGAAGTCAAAAGAATTGTCTGAATTGACACTGATCAAGTGATGCATGTCTCCAACACAGATAGGCTTGCATTGCTAGTTATATTATCCTCTGTGTACGGCAGTAGTATGTACAGTATAAATTCAAACAGCAGTAGCTGTGTTAATTTTGATTAATAAAGTGTTAGGCTCTCCTTTCATTTTCATGTGCTTCTTATGGTATAGAAAGACTGTCACACGGGCTGTAGGCATGCTTGACAGCCTGGGGTCAAGATGAGAAGTGAGCAGCAGCTGAGGGAGAGCTTGGGCTGTGAGCATTGCTAGCTGAAGCAGGCTGGCTATCATAGAAAGCATTTATTAGGAAAGAAAACCATCTGAGTATTGAAAACTCTAGGCACCAATTCAGCAGCTTGAATGGGGAAACCTCTTTCATGCATATTGTCCCAAGAATCACAATCATAGGTATTCAACTGTTAATTGGGACATAACTTTAAAACATTTTTAACCATTTAACCAAAGAGTCTAACAGATTCAGAAAAGAGCAAGAAGGACCTGTGGAGACTGAGAAAGAGAAAAATCCCTGATAAAACCAGAATTTCCAGATAAGGTGGTATATTAAATTACTCAAAATCTTTCCCTCCTCCATCCTCCTTCCTCAAAAACAGCAACAAAAATCATTTGGTGACTGCAACACTGATAAATGTACATCAAGGAACATCATGCACAAGGTTAATTGGAATAATTTGTATTACATCATCAACACTCATTACAGGTCAAGGTCTTAGGGAAATTTCTCTTTAGGGAATGTATAGGACCTGTCTCCATTTGTCCCTTTATATTTTTTCCACGGTAATTCAAGTACTCCAGATTTCCATAGTCAGAGGCTTTAGTAGTGTCAGTGAACAGTCAGAGACTTCAGCAATGTCCAATTAAACAACAAAAAAATCATGCAGAACTGAATCATGGATTTACACATCATCAGATGCATGTCTGGGAAGGAAATGCTCTACACATTCATGACTTGTGTGGGTGGAGTTTAACTGGGTATTCAGGCTGATGCAAAAGCAAAAAAAATTTGCCGTAGAAGGTTCTCATTCCTACTGCTATAGCTTTCCTCTGTAACTAAAACCAAAGTTTCACAGGAATCTCTGTGAATCTCCACTCAGTCCTTTAGACTACAGACTGAGACTGAGAGTAAAAATTCATTTTAGGCACTTACCAAAGTGTCTGAAGTGGCAGCCTCATTGTCAAAAGACCTGAATCACCACTGGGAGATATGTAGTCTTCTCTATTTTTTATTCTTTAATAGAGGGAGCCTAGAATGAACTAGATCCCTAATTTGGGTGTTGCATTAAAAGGCCAACGTTAGGACAGATGAATTGCATAAGACCACCATTATCTACCAGCACTAACTCCACATTGTTTGCCCTTTCCATATCTCGTTCATTAAATATGGAGACCAAGGAATATGAAGCACCACAAAGAATTTGAGTCCAGAGAGGTTAGAGTGTTCTTGGTCAGGGTCAGTTTGAAACAGTTAAGACAGTGGCAAGTATAACAGTTCTTGGCAGCTCATGCCTGCCTGTAAAATAGTTCTGTACAATTACTGATTTTTCTTTTTCTTAGATAAGAAAAAAGACTAATGAGTCATAACAAGAGGAAAGGAACAGATACTTCTCATAACAAAGGTACAAAATTTCACATCCCTCTCTTGGGTTTGCAACAAGCTGAAAACTGGACTGGATACTCTTAAGCCTGTACAGATTTAATTGACTGCGTTTATCAGAAATTAAACAAAGTGGCAACTTTGGAGATTGTGACAACAGCCTCTGCTCAGGAGCCAGTCAGTGACATTAGCCCCTAACCTGATGGGTTGGCTCAAGTCCAAGTGTCAGAGTTTCACCATTTTCACAGTCACCACTCACCATTTTAATTTCTATCAATAGTTTTTACAATAACATACGGCCCATTTTTTTCTGCACTAATAGTTCTGTTGGCTTCCTTACGCAAGATTTAACAATTTAGTGTCTGTTTATCCAAAAGATGATATAGGTATCAAAAATATGGGAGCGGGGAGGATGGGGAGGGAAGGCCCAAGTACAATGCCTCCTGAG